AATAGGTCTCACGTGGTTTCCACGTATTTATGTCTTATTGGTCTCACATGACTTAGACGTATGTATGGTCTTATAGGTCTCACGTGACTTCCACGTATGTATGGTGATATACGTATCACGTGATTTTACGTATGTATGGTCATATAGGTCTCACGTGACTTCCACGTATGTATGGTCTTATAGGTCTAACGTGACTTCTACGTATGTATGTTCTTATAGGCCTCACGGACTAGGTATGTATGGTCTTATTGTACTCACGTGACTACGTATGTATGGTCTGATAGGTCTCACATGACGTTTGCGTATGCATGGTCTTATAGGTCCTATAGGTATGGTCTGATTTCATTATATCGTGTTATGTCTTACAACTACAAGAACATTCGTAAATTAAGGTAGACATAAATAAGGTGGGCAAAAGATAGACACAAAGTAGACATTAAGGTAGACACAAGAGTACACAAAAAGGTATACACAAAGTCAAACGTAAACATAAAGAGAGACGTAAAAAGTACAACATACAAATAGATGTACGCAGATGGACGCAAACTAGTTACGTAGACACAGAAGTAGACACATAGGTGAATATGAAGGTACACAGGTGAACTTGAAGGTACACAGAAAGGTAGGCAAAGATGTGGACATAAAGATAGACAAGAATAAAGAATATATTTTTTTCTTGATTCTATAAATCGAACAATCTATCTTTTCTCTTAATTACAGTTCCTAAAGATCAAGTAATGATTGATGGATATCCTACTTAAGCGGTGTTAATACATGCAGCAAAATTACGTTTTTTTAGAAATTCCTTATCTCCTCTCATCCTCCCTTTCATTTTTTAAATAAATACATAAACTTTGATAGCTTCTTGTTAACCATTTAAATTAATTTCTAGTCCATTTCTTTTCTTCCAAACCAAGCTCAACTGTTTTCACTTTTTTGCTCCAAATGCATAAATTTTTTTTATCTACGGCAAAGGAAGATCCTTGCACATCGAACTACATTTTACTACATAAAAGCAACAGTGCTACTGGTTTTCCAACATAAGAACAAAATTTGTTCATACAACAAGACCTATAGAAAAGCGAAGAGGAGACGATAGAGAAGGGAGAGGAAACAAGAGGAAAAAGAATAAAGGAAAATCAAGGAGGAAGGCAGAGTAGAGGGTAGGCATGCACAAGAGTTGATAAAATTGACAAACATCGAAGAGAAGAGGCAACAACAGAAGTAAAAGTGAAAGCAAAGAGAGGATAGGATATAATATTCTCCGCCCGTCATTGTAACAAAACAGTAAAATCATCACCATACTCTTCTCTATTCACTGTCGTCAAAATAAACTGTAAAATTAATAAACGGTGACAAATTCACCAAGACTAACAGAAATACCAACACCAAGAAAAACTAACACGAGCACCATACACAAGACTAACAACAATAATGAGCATTAAAACTGCTCCTATCACTTGACCAACACCAGCATTAAGACATTTTCACTATGAAGACATTATCATAAGACTAAAACTAGCTCGAACACTGAGACAAAGACGCACATTACTTGGCACATTACTTATGCTAACACTAACACGAGCACAACCACTATTCTAACTATTTAATAACTCAACTCTTTAGTTTGATAATCTTATTGCTTACCCCAAACCCTATTCCAATGTGAAGTACACCCTATTCAAACTGTTCAAAGAAAGCATACCGTTGCTAAAGGTAACGCTTAAAAGGTAATCAATCACAATTTGTAATCAAAATTCGGTATTTTGCTATTCAATTAAGTAGTGTTTTTAAACATTCTCAAATCAGCAAAGAGTTTAAAATTTTCTACATCAGTTGCGACGCCCCAAAGCAAACCGGTCAATTTTATTCACAACCAGGACAATATGAATAGGAAAGACCTTATGAGACGCTATCAGCTGTATACGTACAGATTTGCTGAAATCAATAAAGAATGACATTCATACTACAAAAAATTATGTGATTTATATTGTCTGATGATATTTAATATATTTTCACATGGTCATGTTGAAACAAGAAAATTTGCAGTTCACATTGGAATAATTAGTACGAACACTAACGCTTACTCCAAACCAAAGAAACGCGTCAAAACTCGACGAAAAAAAGAAATTGAAAAAGGTTAAGGACGGGCATTTTCAGGATATATATTTCTTATGGAGGCAATTACATTAAAGTATACATTAATATACGTAAGTTTTCAAAGGCAATACTCACGTCACGTGACGTCAATACTTACAACTTAGTTAGATGAAGCTCTAAACCTCGATTGTATATATCCAAAAAGGACTGCAAATAGGTATCTTGAACATAATCAAAAATTAAAGGCAAGCATCAAAGTCATATCTATAGATTCTTTTAAAAGCAAAATGTTTAACGAAGCATTTGTGGATATTTCAGTGTCCTATTTACAAAAAATATATAGGTTATAATTCTTTTCGTACACTAAAGCCACTTTCATCGTATTTGTAAAGAATTCATGAGACATTTGCCAAGAATACAAATATTCTTTTGTAAAGATTTCTGAGTAAACGAATGTCAAAGATATTAGCGTTCCAATCAGACCACGTGCATTTGTCAAGAATATTACATCTTAAAAATGAAATTATTTTATATATATTGCCCTAAATACGCTTTCCTATATTACACTGGTGTACATATTGAGCGTTCAACTCTTTAACATAGAAAAGAATACAGATGTAATTATTTCCAAAAACTTTTCAACCTCATTTATGATGGGAAAGAGCTAATTGTTATTTATACTTGTTCTTGTATAATAACAGTGCATTGGGAATCAAACCCAAAGACTAAATTGTACCGCTTTTTGAAAATACTCAATTTGTCCGTTTCTTTTCGATAGTGCAGAAAATTTTGTCAATGAACAGATTATGGATATTTTATAGTTCCAAAATTTGATCTTTGTAGAATTTTGAAGCTCAAAGCTGGTAAGTTATTGCTTGAGCGAAATAGTAAAAAGGTCAATAGCTTCATGATGTCGTTCTAATGCTTTCCTTTCCTTGCATTACACTTTATTATTTAACGTCACAAACAACAATTACCAGCCTTTTTATACTGCCGTTTCAATGTCGAAATGCTAAAATGTGCAACTTCGAGCTCCCCAATTAAACGGTAATAAACGTTCACATTTACATCATGTGATATGTAAATAAATATGAAAATAGTTCAACTAAAATCACAAAAACTGTTCGAAAAGCGAATTAGCTTAAACATGAGGATGGCCGTAAATTTTAGCTGGTAGATCTTTGTTTCGCTTAGCTAAGCGTTCATAACTTCATAACGTTCAAATTGTATTTCTTAAGGTGCCATTATTGTATATGACATGAAGTAGTACAAGTTTAGTCCGACACCAAGCTCACTGTTTTTTTGAAGACTTAACCGAAATAAAAAATCCCTAATGGAAAAACCTGAACGGTATAAACCAAGACCGAACCACAAAGGCACAAGAACTTGGAGAATACTGAACAGGAAAAAACCACTAGGGATTTTAGCCGAAGTTCCGCGCCCTGGGGACCCATGTATATAATTAATAATGTTTACATACCTTTGAAACGAAGCAAAAAGCCAAAAAAATAGAAGAGACCGTCCATTTTTCAAAGCGCAACTTCAAGTCCCAAATTTTATAGTATTTTTTAACGTGCACTATAGTTTCGGAAGAAAGTCGCCATTTTAACCGACATATACGTATACAAAGCGAAATTAAACCGATCACCGAAGTGGACAATTTTCTTCTTTGCACGAGAAAATTGTGTATTGGATAAATTTCTTAAAACGTGTGTTTTCTTATCTAATCCATGACCAAATCAGTCGCACCTAAGCATAAAGCGCCTATTTTGCACCGTTTAATTCAGTGCTTTGCGCGCCCGGTGCCACTAACGCCTAAAATTGGAGCAAGCGATGGCTGTATGACATGGATTAGATTACTGTACTTCAAGATAGTTTGTACGGTTAGACGAAATTCAATGTTTTTTTTAAACCTCTTGAAGAAGCACACGTTAAGTTTGGTTACCAATGAAGTGGTGATAGTTTAACCAAACAACCGGCAGTGCTTTATTTAAATTATGTTTTACTTTGACAATTATCACATACATGACTTTCATAGAAACGCGACTGGTGAACATGGAAACCTTCGTGTAACTTTTTAGTTAAATATGTGACAACGTCTGCGGTTTGTCTTCATAGTAACCATTATAAAAAAAGCAAAACAATGTACTTTAATTAAAACCGTGTTTTCTTTTACGTTATTATGAAGGCATTCCGCATACTTAGACCTGGTGTACTAATTTATTTTTACGCTCACTTTCGCTGTGGCTTGTAGCATTGAAATTCCCAGGAATGAAGTTTTCCTTGACAGAAAACAACATGTCCCTTAACACATTTACAGTCATCGCCACGCCACTTTAAACTGTAAATGTCTTAACAAAATAAATACTTTTTTGAGTATCTATTTGTCGATTTAGGAATGAGTGACAAGATTGAAAGATTTCTTTCAAGCATTTAAAATTCACTCATTTCTCTTGACAGTGGGGTTCATCCTTTAAAGGTACAAACCCACGCTGTTATCTGAGCGTAGCAACTACTCGCCGCAACTACAACGCATGCCTATGCTATCTAAACTTCCTACCTGCGCATGGCACCGGAATTCCGCCCTGAAAAGGAATGCCCTTGAAGGTAACCCATCATGCCCTTAACTTAACCTAACCTAGTGCATGTTGCACCTACGGGTGACCTCCAACAGGGTGGGTTGAACTACGCATGCATTATAGGGGATCCAGGAGTGCCTTAAAGGACACATGCAAGCTAGAAGACAACTTTATTTTATTGTAATGCCTATAGCGTGAAAATAAGACGTACCAAGTTTCAAAGTCGTCCGCGAAATATTTAAAAAGATATTTAGGGTTATAATCGGTAAAAACACGGTATTCGATGAACATTGCTAAAACGCCGTGAGATTGTTTATGTCTGGGAACTGGGAAAGAGTGACGTAATAGTTGACATAAACAAGCTTCGTTCTTATATCGTTCTACGACTTGCACGCAATTCTTGCACGGCTTTCGGTAGTTTGCTATTACTGTTTTTTATTTAACAAAAATTAATGGATTCTTCTGAAGAAGAAGCCGATTATGATATTGTCGTCAATAACAATGAGGTACAACCTTACATGTTTGAGCCTTTGGCCAACGCGGAAGGTGGTCATAGTAATGACAATTCTTTGTCATCGGAAAGCGAAGATGAATACATTCACAGAATTGGAAATGTTGAATGGTTAGTTGCATTTTATTGATGCTTCATTGTTTTTCCCAAAGTAGAAAGAATGTTTATCTTTTAGGTGCGAGTGTGGCTTTTGTGTGGTCATGAGTACAGGACGGGAAAGTATATGTTGCCAAGAGGTAAACAACACTGATCCTCTGATACATGGCGATCATATTTGCATCACACAAGAGGAAGAGTTTGCCACAGTATGTACAAACGAAGCTGTCTTAAAAACAGCTATGGTCGTGTACACACATGACATTGGACCTATGCCTGAGAGTGAAGAAAACGAGTAAATATTACCTTAGAAGTGTAATTACGTGTATGTCGACAAGTGTATAATGCCGATAAGTATCTTAGACAAAATTTTGTATCGTTCAGAGCATTATGCTACACGGCGTACCGACAGTGGACGGCTTGGGTGCATGGCAGGTTGGAAAAAAGTACCGACTACCCATACCTTCTTGTGCTGTGGACAAAATCCAGAAAGCATTTCCTTCGCCTTCTGGAGAATACAAAGGATTTGAATATGCTCAACACTACTGAATGGTAGGGCTTATGGCGTATGACAAAGTCTGTTCATTTTTAATTATGTTTATTTTGTGTGGGACGTTATTTCTTTTTATTTATTAAAGCCATGTTGCTTAATGGCTTCAGCTTTGCTGATTTTTTGTGGTGAGTCAATGGGACAGGAATCTCTTTCACTCCAGCGACATCAAGAGCTTTGGACAGTGTTGGATTAATGCGTCTGCAGTACAAAACTTCTTTCATCAAGTCCTTAACATATCCTGAAAAGCAAATCATTATTTATGTTGGCTTTGCATTGCACTTTGAGAAAAGGTAAGTTTATTTTTCTGTGCTAACCATAAGTGCTGTCAACTTTCACTGGTTTGATGACCCCTTGTCCTTCTTTTGACTTTGAATAAGCCACTCTCCAAATCAATGCCTCTTCTGTTTGCCCACCATTCTTCGTTTTCTGAGGTTTATTTCCATTCTCATTGAAATGAAGAGCAGCAATAAACAATCTACAAATGAATGTTAAGTTTATGTTTACAACTATTGCAACTTATTGCTTTTGCAATGATGACTTTTTAAGTAATCATACACTAGTCATAATTAGATTACCTTGCTTCCATTGATCTGTAGAAAAAATGGGTATGTTTTGGTGCAAAAAGAATCACCACTCGGTGGAAACCTTCGATGGATGAAGTCTGCTTCTGATAACTGAGTTTTCCAATATCTCTCATGAGATACTTGGACTCAACAATCGAAGACAGCTCAACATAAGCTTTTGAACCTAAGATCAGAAGTTAGTTAACAAAGAAAAAGAATGTTGATGTTACTTTGAAATTTATTTGCTTACAATACCTTTTTTTATCCACATTCTAGGCTCTAACATGTCATGTTCACATTTTGGGAATACATCACTATGTCCCTCATGGATGTCACATATATGATTGAGAACTGACAACCACTTTGCCTTGACAAGTTCTTCATCACCATTGCTGGAAGCAGCACACCAGTATACATGGTTGGAAATTGATTGGGCCCAATCCGACAATAATTTGCAACCACTTTTTTTTGATGCTGCCAAAATTTTCTTTTTGATTCCTGTTGGAATTTGATTATTGATGAAATGTGTAAAGGTTGGTTTGTTATGACAATCTATACCTTTGCTACATGCCATACATCAAAGTAGTGCTCGATTTTTGGTCTTTGTTTTGACATGTAGGATTTGATTTGAGCATGTCTGTCTGTGGTCATTGACTTCACCTTCATCCCACTTTCATCAAACTTTGCCAGACATCTTTTTAATCCCTCAAGTTCCATTGCTCCAGAGTTCGTCACTTCATTGGACTGTGTAACATAATTATGTGAGTATTCTAACCATGTTTTATGTACAGTTGTTGAAGAATTGTTACCTGAACAAGTTGTGTGTCTAAAATGTTGTTAGATTCCAAATCCATGCAGCTATATGACCCATACTTGGCACAATATCCAGGCGAATCACATCTTCCATCTCCTCCAAGGTTAATGTTCCTTTCTCTGATTGATTCTAGAAGATGCTTTTGGTTCATATGCCAAACATTTGAAACACTGGGTATCAAATACGCTGTTTGAATATTGCTATATGTGCGCTCTGACAGAAATTGTATGCCTGAGTGACGAAGGAATTGAAGAACTTTGCTGGGGCTACTACCACTAAAAAAGATGCTGGCAGCAAAGACCAAGTTGCCCAAAGGCATTCGCCCATGCAGAGGTTGGCTATTCCAGTCTCGAACATAACCACAGTGACATTTTGCTAGTACGTTAACCATACTACCAGTCGTTTTCGTCACAATGGAACAACTTTCACCACAACATGGGCATTGACTCACTAACTGTCTCAGGCAACTATCAAGCACTATGTATTTTCTCTCATTTTGAGCATCTTTCCTATAACATAAAAATTACCATCAGAATCAGAGAGAGATAAACGTAACGTTCTGAGAAACATAACAGAGAAAAGCAATGTAAAGAATAGTCAGGTGACTGGATAGTTGGTACTAACGTCGCATTGTCATTGTCGGATTCTTCATTTTCGCTTAACTCATTTGAACATTGAGAGTCTGATCCATTGATGCTATTGCTCATCGTCGACGTGCTTTCTGTATCAGACCATACAGCGCTATCCTCAAAATGTTCAATTTCACATGACGTCGTCTGTGTGCTGTGATTTTTTGTTGAAATGAACTCAACCTCCGTACCTTAGCATAAAATTATCGTATTGCTGGATTTTTCACAAAAATCAAAACAGCCGAAATGGAAAGTCTATACCTCTACTTATCATATTTGGCACTTTTGTTTGAGTGGTTCTTGACCTTACGTGTTTTTGCGGACGGATTGTTATGGCTGCTTGGCATTTCACATTGCGCTTCTAAGGTTTGTTTGTTTGTTCAGGTGCCATGCATGATGCATGCTTGGGCTACCATGTCTCTCCAACGTTGACGGTTACGAGCACAGGCAAAGATTTCTGGCTTCTAAGGTACGTTAAGGAATTTTTTATGAGTTAAAATAACAAAGAAAAGATCAAACGACATTAGTCTGAATTAGTTACCACTGTATATGTTTGTGTTTCGCTGTCTACATATATTTTGACATCTTTCATCTTAGACAAACTTCCTTTGAGGTAAAACGCACTAACATTTCGAGCCGATGTCGACACATCGTGGTCGTCGTCTCAAGAACGTCTATAATCTAAAATTATAAAATTGTCTTCAATTTGGTAATGCTATATAGCTTAGTTTTTGATAAATGTAAACAAATATTGCTAACTATAACTATAATATAGTTAGCAACATTTGTTTACATTTATCTCTTCTCAAATGCAGTTCTAACATTTGTTGGCTGCTTCCTTTTAGATGCTACACTTGTGGGTTCCACAGAGTATTCAAAAATCGTGGGTACAGCATCCTTCTTAAGGCGAAGCCGTCCTGCTGTCCATCCTACTGATTGCATCGCTTCAAAATTTTGCACGAAGCACGAACTCTCGAAATGTTGCGAGCACAATTTTGAGCTCTTTGTGGCTTCAAATTTTGCGTCGGATTTTTCAATCCAAATATCTCGCATACGCTTGTTTTCGGGAAACGAAAAAAATGAAACCTTTTGCTGAGTTTCGTGGTTCTTAGAAGAGGTTTCGTTTTTACAATTAAATGCGGCACAATAAACCATATTTTCAATGCTAAATTGTTGTGTTGTTAAGAAGTTACCAATATATTTTGAACGAAGCGCGCAATTGACCGCGTTTAGCGAATGTCAACTATTACGTCACAACGACATCGGTAGCTGTCGCTAGCTCGTCGGGCATTTTCAATACGTTATCAATAAAGCATCAACTTTAAACCTCCATATCTTCAAAATATTTATCCTTTGAGTCTCAAACTTTGGTGAACTATTAGTTGGAGCTATACCTTCATGTAAAGTACAAAATAACAATCCGAATTTTATGTTGCATGTGTCCTTTAATAGTCACTGTAGAAAGCCGTTCATGAAATCGGCCATCTACAACGACTGCATGCTTTACCGTACTAGGGAGAGACATTTTCTTTCCACCAAAACCATCATCTTCCATCGGTCTTCAATACGCCTTGCTCGCTTGATCCAGTCTTCAAGGTCTTCTTACAGATGCAATTTGCATCCTCTACGCTAAGGTACCATTTGTACCCACTAACCCCAAGTTGAAGTTGCCTTCCTTTGGCCAAACTTCCCTTGCATTTCCGATTCTAAGCTATGGTCCTGTCTATCCTTCTGCGAGGAAACAGCCGCTGCGATCATGCGTAGCTCCTTAAATCAGTATATTCACACAGAGGTTTTTCGAAGGTAAATTATAAAGAACAAACGCAATTGCATGCTACAGACTTAAAATACAACTTCACGCTTACTGATATACAAATTTTGAATGTAATTAAAGCATAACCGAAAAACACAATTGTATTATTTCAACCGAAAGAACACTTTTATCACCTCTTAATCAAGACTATTTTTGAAAATGCAGATGTGAATTTCTTTAAATATGTTTATTTGCCTACCTGCATTAAAAAATAGCCTTATGTGGAATATACTGAACACCAGGATTTGTTGTGGCTACTGCCCGAATTATATCAGAGATTTGACCTGTTAACAGGCCTAACTAAGTAAAAGGTTTATTATTATTACACTCACGGTTTTCGACGAATCCTCGGCAGTTTGACGACAGACTACGACTAACGACGAATCCCTTGCCAAGTATGAAGAAGATGAAATGATCGGATGCTGAGCACGGACAGCCACATAAAAAGCCCAAAATAAATTTTTAAAAAAATTCAGAACATTGATGGTAAGCCATCGTATCCAATTCTCAGGCTATCTGACAAACACCCCCGCTTTTATGTCGACGACGGCAAGCACAGAAGCAAGATTGGCCATTTCTTGCAACTGTGCATGTCGTCTACGGCAGTAAATCGGAAATATCGACAGTCAGTCGGAAAATAGGATTTTTAGATTTTGTATTTTCATGTCAAAGAAATTCCATGTTTTATTAGAAAAATTTTCAATTAAATAATGTTGAAATTTGGGCGTTCGATAGTGGCGTGGCTTTATTCATCATTGCGATTGATTGACCAGTCGTGATCTTAGCAGGATAATGCCCACGAAAAATGTTTTTGAAAAGGTCATAATATTGACTTGTCCATGGAAATAGGCTTTAGGTCGATGGATGCATTGCTCAAGAACAGTGTTTAGAGTTTTCATTCTTTATAGAGATGACCTTTAGGACAATAGAAGTCACATGTTTTTCAATCTCATTAAAGTATGTTGTTCATTCTTGATCATTGTTCAGAGGACTTCGCTGAAGGATATCGTTCATTCTTGATCATTGTTCAGAGGGACTTCGCTGAAGTATATTGTTCATTTTTGATCATTGTTCAGGACTTCATTTAAGTAAGTATTTCATTCATTCTTGATCATTGCTCAGACGACTTCGCTGAAGTATATCGCTCATTCTTGATCATTGTTCAGGACTTCATTGAAGTATATCATTCATTCTTGATCATTGTTAAGGACTTCATTGAAGTATATCATTCATTCTGGATCATTGTTCAGACGACTTCGCTGAAGGATATCATTCATTCTTGATCATTGTTCAGGACTTCATTTAAGTTAGTATATCATTCATTCTTGATCATTGCTCAGACGACTTCGCTGAAGGATATCGTTCATTCTTGATCATTGTTCAGGACTTCATTTAAGTATATCGTTCATTCTTGATCATTGTTCAGGACTTCTTCATATCGTTCATTCTTGATCATTGTTCAGACGACTTCGCTGAAGTATATCGTTCATTCTTGATCATTGTTCAGAGAACTTCATTGAAGTATATCATTCATTCTTGATCATTGTTCAGGACTTCATTTAAGTATATCGTTCATTCTTGATCATTGTTCAGACGACTTCCTGAAGTATATCGTTCATTCTTGATCATTGTTCAGAGAACTTCATTGAAGTATATCGTTCATTCTTGATCATTGTTCAGGACTTCATTTAAGTATATCGTTCATTCTTGATCATTGTTCAGACGACTTCGCTGAAGTATATCGTTCATACTTGATCATTGTTCAGAGAACTTCATTGAAGTATATCATTCATTCTTGATCATTGTTCAGGACTTCATTTAAGTATATCGTTCATTCTTGATCATTGTTCAGACGACTTCGCTGAAGTATATCGTTCATTCTTGATCATTGTTCAGAGGACGTCACTGAAATATATCGTTCATTCTTGATCATTGTTCAGAGGACTTCGCTGAAGTATATCGTACATTCTTGATCATTGTTCAGAGGACTTCATCAAAGTATATTGTACATTCTCGAGAAAATGGTCAACAACAGCCACAATTCTCTTCAACCGCTGTGAACAATAGTCATTTTCTTTAATTGCGGAGTGAATACACCAACATTTGCTTGTTGTTTCTTAATCTCTATTCATGATCATTTGTCGTTAAACAGAAGAATGTTCATGTCTAAAACTAAGTAAGAAGAAACAAAAGTTACAAAGACGAAAACTTTTGCCTAAACAAACATCACATGCGCGTCTCAATTCAATTCGTACTCTTGTGGTACACTTGTACTCAGAACAAGAAACAACACATTTACCTTAACATGGTTTCAAGGCACTCCAAGAGATATTTCAGCGACGACTAATTTCGACTTCAGCCAACTATTCTTCGTACGTCTACCGACTTTCACGTTCACGTTCCAATGTCATGTTCTTACGTTGTCTTAGAATATGGCTCAAGTTACACAAACGTGTTGTGTCCTGATTGGTCAGTTAGGTGTGTCGTAAACGTTTTGCGTTTTGATTGGTCAGTTACTACGTGTGCCTCAAAAAACTGCTCATCTTTGAAATCAGCTGAATTTAGCATTTGCATGATTCATCACTTAGAAGTAATTAATCCCCATAGAGCGGTAGATACAATTGTATACAATTTAAATAAATACGTATATTTCAGCACAGCAAACAGCAAATCCAAAACATTTACGTTTCCTTGGGGAACAACCACAGCTGAACCATGCAAATTCTAAATGTTGACCCAGATCAAAAATGATTTGATAAACCCTCTAGGTTGTCCATTACACATCATTTTCTTACTGTATTTATTAACCAACGTTAACACTTTGATTTTCAGTTTAGCGGACACATTGGATGCTGATCCAATATAAAATTTTAAATCCTAAAGTATTAATATATAATCCTAAATCCAAACGCTATAATCCAAACTAAAAACGAGCCAGCTCTCCGCATACAAGCGCTTCTCGTGTTTGCTAAACTGCAGTCTAGCCTTGATTTCTTTTAATTAGCTTTCGACAGGGTGTATATAAAAAATGACTTTTGGCAATTACACTATCGTAAAATTTTAAAGCGCATCCACTACGCTAACCTCATTGGTGCATAATATTTCCAATGCGGGAAGAGCTTTTGTGCTTGCATCTACGTAGTTAACAACATTTTATGCATCTGTGGGCTTAGGATAGTAACAGGCAGTGAAATTATACGAAGGTCTTCAACGGTAAAGGAATGCCGGCAAGCAATTTTTGACCGTCTATTTAAACAATGTATGTAATAAAAGGGTTAATTTGAGAACTAAAGTGAACTCTTTTTCCCTAAGTCCCAAGCATGCAACACCACAAAATCATTCTAAATTAATCAAAATATTGTGAAAATCTTACAATTGTTTTACCCATGCAATCTTGCAATATATCAGGCAAGATCTTGTCAACATCTTGCAGAGATTTTTCCATGCAAGTACTTGCAATATATTATGGAAGATTATGTCAACATCTTGCTAGATTGTGCACCATGCAAGATCTTTGAAAATATTACGCTAGATCTTGTCAAGATCTTGCATGAGTAAATCTTGCCGAACACATTGCAAGATGTTGAATGAGTAAAATTTTGCCTAACATCTTGCAAGATCTAGCATAAGAAAAATTTCGCTTAATATATTGCAAGATCTTGCAGTAAAATCTTGCCTAATAACTTGCAAGATCTTGCATGGGTAAAATCTTGCCTAATATCTTGCAAGATCTTGCATGAGTAAAATTTTTATATCATATTTGCAAGATCTTGCTAGAGAGTAAAATTTGCCTCATATTTTTTGCAGATCTTTCATGGGAAAATTTTGCCTAATATCTGCACTTAATAGAAAAGTAAACAGTGTGTGATAAATACATGGTATATATAGACACAATTGTACTAGGTATCTATCCTAGAGAGCAATCCCCATAGAGCAAAGAATACAATTGTATCTATTATATGTCCTCATCCAAAACTCTCGATTACACGTTAGGTGCTTGAACTGTGTTCCATTTCATCTAGCTATCTTCAAGCTGGCGTCGTCGTTTCTTTTCTGT